ATCTGCATCTCCAATCACAGCGAAATCGTTTCCTCGCTCCTACATCTTCCACCCTATGACCCGGACACCGATCGAACTCAGCTGTCTAATGATCTAATGATAGAAATGTAGGGGAAAAAATCAGAAGTCGTTGAAATGTTGGCTTATCTTAAGATATGGTTTATATTCTTTATTTAGTACATAAATGCAAAACTTACCCTTCATCAAGTCTCAGACTCAGTCAAATGTTTGCCTATTAAAAGAGAAAAGCATATGTAAGGGGGAAAAAAAATAAAAAAAACTTTAAAGTGGTTCAAATATTGACTTATCTTAAAGGGGTCATATGATGCGATTTCATTTTTTCCTTTCTCTTTGGAGTGTTACAAGCTCTTGGTGCATACAATAATCTCCCAAAAATGATGTTACACAAGCATTCACTCACCTCATCCACGCTGAATATGCTTCTTCGCGCGCAGCCCAACGGACAGCTTCCTCAAGTTCATGAGTTGTTCGTCTGAAACTCCTCCGCGGTTTAGTTAGTTCACTGTATAGTCTGTCCGTGTCTCCTTGTTTGATGTTGCACTGCGATGTCTTTATGTATTAAACATTAGTCTAATGTCTAGATTTGCTGAATATTTTTTTTTTCTAGGAAAGGTCTCTGATATTAAATTCATGTACAAATTTGACTCCTGCGCATGAATCCATGTTCAGAGATTTGGCCGGTTAGTGCCAAAAAGCTACAACTTAAAATGTTAAGTTCACTGAACTAAATTGGGCTCTTTGAATTTCAGTAACATTAAACTGACTTAAAAAATCAAGTTGAATCTAATATAACTTATAAAAAAAAAGTTGAAATTGCTTAAATTATTTTTATGAGTTAAACTTAGAAACATAAGTTGTCATGGCTTTTTCATCATATCATTTTTTACAGTGTACTCTGAAAATTCGGAGTTGGCAGGTAAAAACAACAATTTTACCCCATGCAATATGACTTGCTCACATATCCCATCACGCCCTTGAACAAGTTACTGAAGCCAGGTTGCCTGAGAGAGGAGTCTTTACAATAAGGTTGCATTTGTTAACATTAGTTAACATAACTTGGACAGCGCAACAATGAAGATACTCCTAAAACATTTATTAATCTTAGTGAATGTTATTTTCAATAATACACTACTAAAATCTAAAGTTGTATCTGTTAAAGGAATAGTTCACCCAGAAATGAAAGTGCTGAAAATGTCCTCACCCTCAGGCCTTCCAAGATGTAGATGAGCTTGTTTCTTCTTTGGAACAGATTCAGAGAAATGCAGCATTGCATCACTTGCTCATCAGTGGATGCTCTGCAGTGAATGGGTGCCGTCAGAATGAGGGTCCAAACAGCTGATAAAAACATCACAATAACCCACAAGGCTCCAGTCCAGGGAAAAGCTATGTTTGTAACAAGCAATCCATCGTTGATGAACTGGAGTTGTGTTGTGGATTGTGATGTTTTTATCAGCTGTTCTGACGGCACCCATTCACTGCAGAGGATCCACTGGTGAGCAAGTGATGCAATGCTACATTTCTCTAAATCTGTTCCCATGAAGAAACAAACTCATCTACATCTTGGACAGTTTATACAAAATGAAACTTGTCATCATCCATCACCCTCACATCATTCCAAACCTGTATAACTTACTTTTTTCTATGGACTGCAAAATATATTTTGCCAATTGTTGCGCGTTTAATATTTGTGGGGCTGTTTCGTAACATTTAAGTGAGACACAACTGGCACTGGGGCAAACCATGAAAGGAAATGACCAGCAAACAGGCAATCACGTTCAATACGGACCATTTATTGGTGAGAGGTGCAGATTGGCAATCACTAAAAATAAATAACTTATAAATTATGGGAGAAAGGAGAAAACTGAGAGACGCCAAAACAAATAAATAATCAAAAGCAAAACAACCCCGATAGCTTAACCTCAACCCAACTAATCTATCAAACAAAAATGCAGAAATAAAACCGCAAACTTCAGCGTATCCGACGCCCAACATAAACTACCCTAATTAATAACCAAAAATACATAAGTGGCAGTCACTCCCTAACTAGAACTAACAAGAAAATAACAATTTAAATACAAAAACTTACATACCTCCTTCTCCCGAAATCATTCTAACAGGACTAACTTAACCAAAACACATTGGTCTACGGTAGCGGATTACAGGGGTAACTTCACGCCACTTGTCAAACCCGCAATTAAAGCATTAATCATTCAGCAACAGCTGTTTCTAAGCTCTAGCGAACAATGACACCGGTTTAGTAAACCTAGCCACAGGACCAGAAAGCCTCAATAAACTAACGAGTGAGTCAGTCAACTAAACAATTCAAAATAACGAACAAACAACTCAAACAGTCAAAGAAAGAAATGAGCGCGGCTGGCAAAAACGGACAGTCGCCGCTGGCTGGAAAGCAGGACACGAAACCCGGCCGCCTTTTAAACGGGTAGGTCCATCCTGATTGGTCAACGGAGGAACAGAGCAGCCAATAAACAAAACCTAAGAATGTAGAGCAGATACCACAAAAGAGGAAAAGGAGAAAAGAAAACGGGGAGCAAACAAAAATACAAAACATACGAGGAACGTAACACCAATCAACATCGGACCTCATTGAGTTTGATTGTATGGAGAAAAGACTACATTTTCTAAGTATCTTTTGTGTTCCTCGAGTTTGTAATGAAAATATGGTAAAGAAACGTTGTCAGTTTAACTGTTCAGCAGAGAAAATGAAAAGGTACGCTTTGAGCAGTTTATTAGAAATATGGACAAAATTTCAAGCTTTTTCTTTTGGAAACATTGATGAGTCAACCTGCAATGTGCACAAAATGTAGCCGTTTGACACCTAATTTTGTTAGTGCAAACTTATATGGTCGTTTTTGTTTTAGACTCAATTGGAAACATACAATACCTTTCTGTTTTCCCATCTTTTACATTTAAAGGCATCACATATCATACTGCAGTCATAATATGAAAGACATGAACGGTCCAATACCAAATACAGTGCTAATATAAGACTTTGAATAAATGTTGGGAGAGAGTCAGAAAATATCAACAACCAACAAACCTGGTACCACCTCAAGAGACATATGAAGAGAAGTATATTAGGGAGGTGAGTCTTGTGTCTAATAACAGTTTCTTATAGTTTCCAAAATCCATAATCATTCTTGCGCTTTAAATCACACGATTGTAAGCTACACAAATATTGCAAGACACCAAGCCTCTCCAACTCTGCAAAGTTTCACTTTTCATTTTAATTTCAATGCCTTACAATAAAAAAAAAGAAAATTTTCCATCACATCTATTGCTTTTCGGTTGAAAAAATACAAATACAGTGCAGTTTTTCCAAACAGTTTAAGTATACATGTTTTTAGTACAGATTAAAACAAAACAAAAACAAACAACAACAAAAAAAAAGCCAGGACTGCTCATAAGGAGAGGGACAACGAAGCACTGTACAACAATATGCATATGAACTCTCAACAGAGGTTTACGATGATCTTCTGGAGTGCAGCCACTGAGTAGACAGAGGCTCATGAACTCAACGGTCTCACTGAATTCTGCTTTGCTCTCTTTCAGATCATGTAGCATTTAGGTGACAGCTTCCTCTTTTCATTATGTCACCCCCCTCTCCTCCTCTGTCTGTCCACAACATGCCAGTCGCTTATTCCAGATCTGGCATTTCTGGAGAAAAACACAAACATGTTAAAAGTATAAAAATCTGTCATAATTTACTCTCTCGTGTTGTTTAAGTTTGTATAGGTTTCTTCATACAAAAAGTCATACAAGTTTGGAACATCAAGAAGGACACTAAATCATTTTCAATATTCTTCAGCATGAGTCAAGTTAATACAAACACTTAAAGGGACAGTTCTGTCATCATTTACTCAACCTCACAGCCTTTCAAAACCATAAGACTTTTGTTCATCTTCAAAACACAAATGAGAATAAGACAAATTTTTTTTGTCCATTCATTGAAAGTCTAGGTAAACAATATTTTCAAGCTTCAAGAAGTACATAATGACATTGTAAAAGTAATTGGCATGAAGCTCAAACATGCTTATTTGACATGCAAGAACCAGTGAGGTTTGTTCTCGAGCATCAAGCCAGCACAGGTGAGTTTCTGTTTACCTTATTTAAAGTGCCCCTATTATGCCATTTTGAATATTGCCTTTCATGCAGTGTGTAATGTAGCTGTAGATGTGAACGTAAACGATCTGCAAAGTTTTAAAGCTGAAAGTGCACGATAAAGTTATTGTCTCCCAAATTAAAGAATCGACTCTGAACAGCCTAAACGAGTCGTCAATAATTTGAATCCCACTTCCGTGATGGCTACACGTCACTGAGTAACACCTTTGCATAATGCCCGCCTATGTTCTCCGTTGGCTGGCCGTGAACAACTAGACCCGCCCTTAAACACTGCAGCTTGTTCATGTCATGTCGAGAAGACGCCGTGTCCTACAATGTGAAAGTAAATTAGTTTTATTTTCACTTCCGAAAGATGAGGCTGCAAAGAATCAGTGGTTAAAATTCATTTTTCCACTTTACCCACAGCAGTACAACCCCCAATCTTTTTTCCCGTCATTTTACTGACTGCTTCTCTAATCTTTGGGAGTTCAATGTGGGATTCACAAAACGCTTGCTCTTGAAAGATGGCTCAGTACCCAGTTTATTTGGACCAGGTGCAAAATACAGAACTATGGCAATGGGTGTATCGTTTCCGACACACGCTGTACTTAGTAAACCAATCACAACAGACTGGGCCATCTGACCAATCAGAGCAGAGTAGGCTCACAGAAAGGAGGGGTTTAGAGAGACTGAATCTTATGGCGCTTTTCCACTGCATGGTACGGCACGGCTCACTTTTGGGGGGTTTTCCACTGTGCACAGTACCTGGTACTTTTTTCAGTACCACCTCGGCTGAGGTTCCAAGCGAGCCGTACCGTTACCCAAATGTGACGTGTCAGCTGATCACTGATTGGCCGGAGAGAATCGCCACTACCTGCGTCATTGAACTTGCGACACGAGACACGCTAGATTAAATCAGCACAGCCAGCAAGGATCGAACGCAATTTTTTTCGAACGAGCGCACCTTTTTTAAAAAACAAAATAATGTCTGTTTCGTGGTCTGTTCAGGAAGTACAGACGTTCCTCTCGTTGATTGCCGAGGACCGGATGCAGCGAGAGCTTGATGGGACGACGTGAAATGAAAACGTTTTTCAGGAGGTCGCTCAGCACGGCAGTGCAACTATAACGACATGTCTATAATCCCGCCCACTCTAAAGCGGTACTAAACTGCAGTGGAAACGCAAACTGAGCCGAGCTGTACCATGCAGTGGAAAAGCACCATTAGAACTGCTTCGAACGAATCGTTTAAGGATCGTTGGGAAATTAGGTGAAACTAAATGCATATTTTGAGAAAACAAAAGTGCTGTTTGACCTGGCATGCATTTAAAACTATTGTAGGAGACTCCCAAAACAATATTAGGA